TTAAATTGTAATGATCATTATACATATTGAAACAACCCTGAAGCTTGTAGTATAATTACTTTAGCGAATATTTGTTGAATGAATGTTATAAAATTGAGCATATTTGTCCATGTGTTTTCATAAAGAAAACAAATATTGAATTTGAAATTGTGAAAATTTATGTTGATTTAAATTTAATTGAAACTCCTAAAAAGCTCAACAAAACTACAAATTATTTGAAAAATGAATTTGAGATGAAATATTTGCAAAAAATAAAAAGAAATTTTTTGTCTAGGGTTGTAGATTGAACACCTTCTATAAGGATTATTTGTTCATCAATCTACATAAACAGAAAAAGCTTTAAAACCTTTTCATATGAATAATGCACATTTATTGGCTTCACCTATGGTTGTTTGATCACTTGATATGAAAAGATTTATTTAGTCTACTTGAAGATGGAGAAAATGTTCTTGATTTTAAATTGCCATATCATAGTACAATTCGAGTATTAACTTATCTTATAAACTGCACTCGACTCTGACATGATTTTTTTTTGTATATCTTTTTGCAAGATATGGCTCTACACTAACTAAAAAATATTGGAATGGTGTTAACATAAGGTACTATTGATTTGGGATTATTTTATTCTTAAAGTTGAGATCTGTTTTAGTGAGATATGTAAATATATGTTATCTCCCTGATCCACATAAAAGGTAAATCATACATAGGATATGTGTGTTACATGTGGAGAAATAGTTTTATCATTGAGATCTATTAAGTAATTCTTGACAACAACATCCTCAAATCATTATAAAATTATTGTAATCCATGAAATATGTCGAGAATGTGTATGGTTGAGGAACATGACCCATCATATCCAAACATTATGCGGATTAATTTCGACAAAAAATAGTCTAACAATTTGATACGAAGATAATGCTACTTGTACTATACAACTCAAAAGAGACTATTTCAAAGGTGATAGGACAAATGATATTTCTCCAATTTTTTTCATATACATGAGCTTTAGAAGAATGATGACATAGATATTCAACAAATTCGCTCAAGTGACAACGTGATTGATTTATTCACAAAAGCACTGCTGACATCTACATTCAAGAAATTGGTTCACAAGATTGGAATATGTCGATCAAAGATTTTTAATGATCAAATCAGAGGGAGTAAATGTACTATTTTTTTCTTTGCTTGGGGTTTGTTCCACCGAGTTTTCCTATTAAGGTTTTAATGAGGTAATATTTATTTTTAATATTTCAATATAACTGGATTTTTTTTTGTTTGATTTTTTTTTTATCCTACTGAATTTTTATCAAACAAAATTTTAACGAGGTAAATATTTTATAATCTTTCATTCAAGGAGTGCTTTAAATAATAAATTTATTATTGAATGACAATTATACGCTTATAGTTTTAGAAATTATACCATTGTATCCCTAATCTTTCTCTACAAATGTGGGGCTTTGATTCTCATTATAATACACATAAGTCTATTAAGTTTTATCTTTCTTCTCTTTTTCTCTCTTTTCACAACAAAGCTACATTTTATTTACTCATTTATAAAATGGAATTTTGAAAATAATAAAAATGGAATTGTGGATCCAAACAGGTGTAAAACAACTTTCTTTCTTTGGGTGTTGTTCAAAACAGCTTTGGCACGGCTCTTCAATAGCAGCGCACAACACAAATGTGCTAATGTTCTCCTGTATCACCGTGGGCGGTACCAACCCAACCCAATCCAACCCCTTAAAATTAAATTTATTTTGAAATTGTTTTTAATTGAATTTTAAGGATTCAAAGATTGATTTTGATAATTTTCAAAATTATGGACTGAAATAGAATTTGGTATTTTCAAATTAGGGTTTTAAATTTGATTTAGGATTTTGAATTTGGGGCAAAATTGATTTTCAATTTTAGTGTAGAAATAGATTGACTAAATTGAGAACTTTTGCCTAATTTAGGGCTTGACCAGAAATTAGGAATTTTGACAAATTCAAGTGTAGAGCAGATTCAGGGTTTGACCCAGAATTTGGGATTTTTGACAAAATTAGATTTTCAATTGGAATCAGCAATTAATTTTCAAAATCATATAAAATTTAATCAAATTTAATTAATTATCTGTTTCATAACTTCATTTCAGTCGTGTAATTGGTTTAAACGGCTTCAATTTATGCTAAAAATTATAATTAATTTTAGCACTTTATTCTCGAAGATCAAGTTTATTGACATTTATTTTTGAATATATGTTACGTATGATGGATGATGTGATGCTTAGACCAATATTTTTTAATATTCAATTTTTTTTTTGATATCCAGGTATCCACCTTACAGTGACTAAATCTTGGAGTCTACACCTGGCCCCTCAAGTTGCAGACAAGTTAAACCGCAGGTTGTGCCCCAAACTGACCAGTGCTCAAGAGCCCCCAACTGATCTGCCAAAGTGTCAAGTAAGTCGTTTCTCATCTTTGCACCTTGCCTTCCAGGATAAATCCTGCCTTTCAGGAGAATATCTGCCTTCCAAGAGCCTTCCAGGAATCGAACTCACGACCTCTGATTTGCCAGCCTTGAAACGCTATCATCTTTGCCAGTTGGGATGTACCCTGGAGGGCATTCAAATTTTGTTTTTATATAGTTTTGATTAGTTAGGGACGGAGCTTCTTAATCTCGATATAAATCTTCTTATTATACAACTCTCGAATGTAACTCAAGGCTTCTACATTGTTAATCTAAATAAGAACTATATATGAATTTTATTTTATTTTCAGGATGCACTGAAAACGAAGGCCATTGACATAAAGGAGATATCCATCGCTTGAGTCTTTAAAAGCTAATTGAAGAACTTTGCCTAATATTCGATTTGATCATCTAATCTACTTTTTGGCTCGAGTGGATTAGTTAGACTACATTCTTTAATCTTTCATACTTTATTTATGCATGTTTATTGACACATTAAGTCGAATATTATATTTGATATATGTTCCACACAAGTTCTCCACTTAATTTAAAATCAAATTAATTGAGCAAATTTTAACTCACTTTATTTTGTATTATACCTTTTTAGACTAAATCGCCAATTGAAGATGCATAAAATAAATAAAGTGATTTGGATATTAATTGGACGAAATGATAGTGTTGGAAGAAGGTTGGACACTGTGGGACTTACTTGAATGGACTTGGAAGGCCAATGGAAGAAATCATTAAGCCCCAGTTTGATTTTGCTACATATTAAAGTTTTAGTAATTTTTGATAAAAATTAACAAATGATAAGAATAAAAATTGTGTTTACTTCGAAATGTATTGTTAAAGTTAATTGTTGACTTTAACTTATATTTTTATTCAATTTTTAGCTAAACCATGAGCTAAATTTGGAGAACAAAATGGATACTTTGAGAAGTCTGAGGATAAAAAATGAAGAAACTTGAAGTCGATAGACCAACATGGACACTTTGAAATGTTGAAGAACAAAAATTAACGAAACCAAAAGTATAAGGACTATATTTGAAAGAATGTGAAATTCCAGAAACCATCTATGCAATTTTCAGAAATTGGTACCTAGCAGGTAACATGGGCATAAATTACATGATATATGTCATTGAAAAGTTGTTAGATCCATGAAATATATGAGTAAATTTAACTGTTGATTTTTAATTAAAATTAAAATTTGGATGAATTTGAAGAAGAGGAAGATGTTGCCAACGATCATTAAACAGATTCACGATTAAGGACGTACCCAACTTTTTTTAATAATTTATTCGAGATTATTTTAAATATGGCTTCTACTATTAAGATATTTAATCAGAGTTCATGCATAGTGTTAACTTGTTGAGTTCCTTCGTCGTTACTTGTTTAGGAATATTTTACATTATAAATATACGATATTTCTGAATAACCAGTTTGACTTAATTAAAATAATTCATGTGTTGAGTTAAATCGACAAATAAATAACAAGTCCCTCTCATCAATTTCGACATTCAGATCATATCCCTCCATATTAAATCGACGCATGACAACAGCATCTTCCACAAGTATGTCATCGTCATCGATGTCTGTATCTCTTATCTCATATTGTTTTTAGAGTCTTGCATCTTTTTGTTCTATGACAGACAATAAAACCAAGAAAAATAAAGAGATCAACTAAAGAGGAAAAAAAGAATATAGACAAAAGATCTAATAAATAAAAGAATTAAGGAATTAGAAATAATTTAAACCAATACTAAAATAAAATAGTCACCAACAACGTAGCTAAAAAAAATAAATAAATAAATCGTACCCGTTGAAACATTTAAAATTAATCCTGCATTCAAGTTTTTATAAGACACCTCTCAACAATAAAAGAACTCTCTATATCCCTAAACTCCAAAAAATATTAGACGACACCTAATTTGCAAATAACAATCTCAAACCATTGATTTGATTTTTAGTCATAGAAATTAGACAAGGTTAAATTAATATTTGAATAAGTAGTCTTCGTGTGAAAATAATCCAGGCTCTCCACTTTAATACTTGTTTATTGATATCATATACTTGCGACGTTTAGATGAACACAAACTCTGTGTTCCTAAACTCCAAAAAATATTAGACGACACTTAATTTGCAAATAATAAATAAAAGATAATAAAAATGACATCATATGTCTTCATCACTTTCTACATCCAAGTACTCATAATTTGTGATTTGGTCATTTTATATGTCTTAACTATTATTGATGGTAGATTTAGCATATGGAAATGGCACATCTACCACTATAATGTTATTGCCTAAGAAAACGTTTTGTTTTTAGCCATACGCAATAATGCATTCAAAGCACGATTTTTAGGCATTCACTGAGAAAGTAAGAACGATTTTTAGGTATTCACTGAGATAGTAAGAGTAAGTTTGAAAAAAGAAGTGATTTAATCCATCATTCCAGTAATCTTAGACACAATTCCCAGTTATATGCCAAATTTGAAGAGCTAAAATGCAATCTTGAACAAGCAACAAAAAGCTAAAGAGAGAAGACAGTGGCATCACAGAAGTAAATTAGTAAGAGACAACTGAATGTGGCATAAAGCTTGGTTGCAATACGTATTCCAAATATTGGTGAAAAGGATTCACCATGAATGAACTGAAAGAGAAGATAAAATGAAACTGAGACGAAGTTATCACATTAAAATCTTTCTTAAAATAAACACATTTAACCACCTCAGATTGTCAGCAACAAATATTGAAAAGAGAGCACAGAGTAAACAGGTACAAAATCCAATAGGAGAAGATTTAGAGCAGCATTTTTCTTCTACTCTAGGGTTTTTTCTGGCCTAGATATTACTTTCAATAGAGATACTTTGACAAATTCAACAGTAAAAATTGAAGGTTACAATTATTATTATTATTATTTTAAGTGAACGATCACACGACAGAGTCCCTAAAATGAAGTAACGACTTAGCATATATGGGTGCAAAAGGGAAAAAAGAAGTATGATGGTAGTGCTTAAGCAAATGAGAAATCTCACAATGAAGCAATAAGGATTTTGTTTTCGAATGATAAAACGGAACTCATTTTCTAAACTTGGAAAACGGCCTTACAATTCAAATATATGATTTCACTCTAAACGGAAAGGAAAAATCTCCTTGTTATTTTGCTTGTTCGATAGATCTACTAGGAAAAATCCTAGTTACAATGACAATTTATGATTTCATTCAAATTTAGTCTCAAATTGTTTTCCTTAGTTGCTATTCCTGAAGTTCAACATAGAATTGAAAGAATTTAGCCACTCTCCCATCACTTCATTGACTTCTTAACAGCAAAGTCTGATCAACAAATTCCCCTTTTTCTCAACTAAATAAAATAGTCAGAGAAGCAATCTTATGGATTCCATAGGGAACCAAGCGATCATATCACGAACATGATTATTAAGGAATTAATAAGTGTCTAAGTGGTCTTAGATTCTAAATTAAATATCAAAATCTTAGAACATGCATATCGGTTGTATATTTTTCTTACGAAATAAGTATTACATTTGTGGATTTAATGATCTCCATATCAAGATAATATCTAAGCAATCCAAGATCTTCCATCTCGAATTCCTCTTCTGTAATCTTCGTGTGCCTCTCTAGAGACGTATATGACACAACATTTTCACCTATCAAAATAATTGCATTTGCACACACTATAAGAATCCAAGATAAGGCATGGTTGTTGACTTGAAACAGAAGTCCTAGTAGATCTATCGAACGAAGCTTGTAGACTGATTCCAACACCTCCACATCTATAATATATTAAATTTACATAAAGTGAGAATCATTTTTTTGAACTATTTTATCCTTACTATAATTCAATTATTCCAATAATACATTACTTTTAGTTTTTAATTATATATTAATTTCCAATTAAAAATTCTCTCACAATCCCTATATCATTCATATACTCAACAATTAATAAATAATTTTCTAATTAAAACCCTCCACCCCTTTTTCATCACCATTGCCTTGCACTAGCAAATACATATGCATGTAATTGGTGGGTTTGGTGAATAAGTTTCTCAAAAGAAATTAATTCTCCCAAGTTCATGAAAACTTTATATACTTTTCGGATTATTCAATTAAGCTAAGAGTAAATAAATTATTAAAGTTCATGTACACTTATTTTATTTTCAAAATTATTCGTTTAATTTATGATACAAATCATTCTCGAGGTTCAAGTACACTCTCTTTTGTCTAAATTAATTTTCAAGATCACGAGTATATGAATTATTATTTTTCCTATATTCATTAATTCAAGTTAACTAAATTTCATGTTCATGAATGTATTTGATTTTTCTTATGAGTATTCACGTAAATGAATTAATGTCTAAACTATTTAAACCCTTTTCACGAATAATTTAGACATTTTACTTATCAACTTTTTTGGAATTAATTTGATGAGCTTTTTATTTTGAAGGTTTCCTCATTTTTTTTTATTTTTTATTTTTTGAACGGAAGGAGCTCAAGGAGTTTAGAAGAATCCTTCTAAGCATAGAGTACTAAATAAGAAGCAAAAAAAAAAAAAGTTTATTGTGTGATGCTTAATATTCTAGACTTGAACTTTGGAAAATTGATAGAGATATTAATACATCTATCACCATCATTTGTCAGTAGCTTTTATTTTTTTCTACGTTGTAAAACTAAGTACGTTCTATGAGATTCAAAATTTCACGATAATCACATGATATGCTTGAGCTTTTTTCATTATTATACTACTCAATGAATAAAAAGTGCATTCCACATAAACAATTTGCATTAACTATTTTTTATATTCACACATCTTCAAATATTACTTATATAGAACTTATAAAATATTGCAAAATAAGTTGCATGTTACACAAAAAAATGAGCTAGAATGCATATAAAGTGATTTTGTACTCGACATCTTCTTTACATCCAACTATCATAATGTCAACCATATCATCTAAAACTCGATATTTGTAGAGAAAAATAATTTAGTCATTTATATTTATTTTTTCAACAACTTCCCTCAGCATGAAGGCCGACTTATTTTTCCATCTAAAATTTGATAATAATATTTTATAAAACGGGTGATGGATGTACTTAAATCAAGTCTCTATTTGCTATGATATCATATTGAGCTCTAAATGTTGTCATTATTCTATAAAATATTGAACTAAAAGAACTGTAATTGTGGATGTTGACACTTCTCCAAAGATCATTAGACTAATCAAAGAATACTTTTTAAGAATTAGCCTCCTTTTTATCAAAAAAATTATAACATTTTTAAATAACACATTTTAATGGATCCACAAGTATTTTTCACTTATCATTCGTTCATTTTTATCTATAAATTAAATTATTCATAATTTTTTCCCAAACAAAGGCTAAATTTTATGTGTGTTCCTCAATGTTTGACCTTTTTTCTAATTTTTATCTTTACTTTTTCCTTGACATTTAATTTTCCTAACTTTCTACTATATTAATATTTTTGTCAAGGTTCACACTCTCTCCAACAACCGTTAACTTCACTAAAAAGAAAAATTTCCCCCTCAAATTTAATTTAAGTTAACCAAAAAAAAAAAAAAATCATATAAAAAGATGAAAATAAAAAGAAATTAATAATCTTTTTCCCAAGCATCCTATGTTAATTAAGACCTTTTTTTTATGTTTTGACACAGATACACTCCATACAAACAGTCCTTTGAAATGACTATGTTTAATTAGATATTAATTAAAATACAATTTCCACACTACTCTATAGATTCAGATCATTTTTGCGTGCTTCACGGCACAGCAAGTCAAGTTTGCTATTAATTTAATTATTTATCAAACATAAAGTGACTTTTCCACAGAGAAAATATGCTTTCTGGAAAGTAAATATTGTCAAAATTAATGTCCAAAAAAGTAAATTTTAAACATAACTAAACACACACTAATTATGCAATTTGTATAAACAAATTGATGGAAGGAAAATATACCTTCTAAAGGCCTAAACTTAGTGCAGCTTTGAAATCCATTTTCCATGCAAAACCTCCAAATTCCATTTTCCAAACATCACAAGGCACTGTTCTTGCACACTTACGTCCATTCCAATAATACTCAACCCTCACTCTGCATGCAAATTCTGACCAGAAATAGGGTATATTTTTTTCTTTGATCACTAAATAAACCTTAAATTCTGCTGCTAATTCTTGTTTTTCTTCACCCAATACCATCTTCTTGTAGGCCTCATTAACCCATACTACATTGTTGGAATTGTCGGACACGAAACCTGGATTTCTATCTATATGTAGATTAGTGAGCTTTTCTTCGTCTGAAAACCCTAACCCTAATCCTTCCATGATTGCATCAGTAAAACATTCTATGATAACCCAAGATTCATTTTTCCATTCAAGGCCTTGTGATTTTTCGGGAAGAGGCCTGGTCACATTCTTTTTTGATTCAACGAGTTCGACTTTCTTACCTTCTGACTGATCCAACATCTCTCTCCGACCTCCCAGATGCTGGCAAAAACTCACCATCTTATCATCTAACACATCGTCTCGAGTTTTTTCATCGCCGTCTTCAAGATTGTGTAGAAAATTTCGGCTCGAAATATTCTCGTTATTCTCTGGCAATAGTTGAAGTGTCACCATACTGTTTTCAGATGGCCCATCTTCATTTCCTAATTCTTTAGCTGGATCAGATATGTTTTTCCTTTTCTTGCACTGATTATTATTCTGCCTGCGCCGTCCTTGAACCCTAACGTACTTTCTCTTCACCCTTCCATTTCTTGTGGAAATATTACTTTTCTCTTGCAAAATACCGCCTTCTCCGGCGGGGGGTTTGGGTGCAATTGGCCGGAATTTGAGCATTATTACAGACTTAACTAATAACTAGTGTAATCTGTGGCGTTATTGAGTTACCCCATCACCCCTATCTCTGATCAATCAACGCACTTCTCCCTCTTTTAAATATGTATATAAATTTTAGTTGGGCTTTTGATTGGGGGATCTGATCTGAAGTTTGATTTATAGCAAGAAAATGAAAAAAGTTGGCTGCTATGGACAGTATGATGACACATATATGGGCTTGAAGAAATTTGATTGCCTAAAAATTGTGTGGGTCCCATCTAATGGGGTCTACTCAAATAAAAAAATTGTTCTGTACGTGGTTCACCAATAGGACGTTGCGACCTGTCGATCACTGCTCTGGATAAGGGGACACCTAGCACGCATGGTATTTTCAACCAGTGAAGTGGAAAGGTTCCAGAACAAGTACACGTTTATGATAAGTGTAACAGTAGAGAAATCTACGGTTTACCACTTTCACGCGCGTACACAGCAATTGGTCAGGACGATGCCTTTCAATGGTAAAATTATCCTGAGGAACAATCTAAAAAATCTATTCAGAGTACAGTCCGATAATATGTATAAAATTAAATATTTTTCATCCAATTAATTCCAAACTAATATATATTTTCTTAATTTGTTTTCAATTATATGATCATTGACCCTTTCTATTTTAACGCCAATTTTTTTTAAAAATAACCAATCAATAGTCTATTTTTGTTAACTGTTGAATTCACGTGAGGTCGTTTGTTGACATCATTTGTTAGATTTAACGAATTTTTCCATTTGAGTGACGGATGGGTAATACGGTACAAAGTTTGGTGATCATTGAGATACATTTTAAAATTCGATTATAAAGTAATAACACTTGACAAAGTTTAGTGATCATTGAGATACATTTTTAAATTAAGTGACTAAGTAGTAACATAAGGCAAAGTTCAGTGACCATTAAGATATATTTTTAAATTGAATTATTAAGCCCTTGTTTGAGTCTCATTCTTTCCCAAAAAAAAAAAAAAATACATTCATAAACAGTGATTTGACATCATTTAACCACACATTCTTCAATAAAATAATATTACACATAAATCCAAAACGTTTCCTATTTTTTAACTAACACATTGTTGACCTCGAAAATTGGACCTTTCACGTGGCCAATCGAGAGTTACTCTACGTATTCCTCCCTACGCACAATCAATGCACGGTCAGACGAACACGGTCGGGACCAGCAGGGGTGGTCGCGCCCGTATACACCCCGACGATCAAGTCAAGTTCAGGTGGTCGGAACAGTACCCACGGGGTTGTGCAAAATAATAAAGGGGATGAGAAAATATATATATTCTTGTTATGGAGTGCTATCTAGTAAGAGTTTTATTACCTTTACCTTTTGCCAACCCTTGGGTATTTATAGGTGGGAGGAACCGTTGGATGTAGGACATGTGTATACATTTGACGGTATGAGGTGTCTGCTCATAGGCGTCAATCAGCCGCGTCTGTAGAGTGGGCGGGTAATTACTTCTCCCGAATTGAGTTGATATAAAGTTGATAAGTCACATCAACTAGTCTCATGGAGACATTAAATCAATTTAAATCTTAGGGCTAGAAAGGATCTTGACAAAGATCTCCTTGTGAAATTGACGGCGTACCTTCTGACAGAGGTCCCCGGAGTGCACTTCGCCTCGACATCATGGGCGAGGGTGCTTCGGTTAGTTTGACAGAATTGTCTGTGGCTCGCAGTGTAATAGCAGGTTGTTGACATTGGAGAGATCACTTCGGAACCACTTCGGGTGGGTGTCTAGCAGATCAGACTGCCTTGTGGTGGATATTTTGAGGTGGTTCAGATAGGGGCATAACAGTGGTCCCCCAAGTCTAGGTATGAATATTTATATCATGGGTGGGCTTGCCTTTCTGACCGGATGTGTATGCCTTGGTACGTGGACCGCGACTTGTGGGTCGATCTTCTGATTTCGCTGGAGTGACAATCTTAGGCAAATGCTCTAAACCTTCGCTGCTGCGTAAGGAAAACACTTACTTATGTGGACCGAAGTGCTGCAAGACTGGATGATGTATAGGAAGAAAATCAACCCAGCAATCGAGGTGATGATCTACAGTGGACTCGCATTAGGCGTGTCTAAGCTTCGTAAAGGTGAGTGAGGAGCTCATCTGTGATCGGTGCGTTGACTCACTTCGGACGACGTGTTGGGAGATGGCTAAAACTTTGTAAAATTTAGGAGGGAACTCATCGACTGAGGCGATGACCCACAGGGGACTCCGCGTCAGGTGCGTCTATACTTTGTAAAGTTGAGTGAGGAGCTCATCTGCCACCGATGTCCTGACACACAGGGGACGACGCGTTGGGAGATGACTGAAACTTTGTAAAACTTAGGAGAGAACACATCGACCGAAGCGATGACCCACAGGGGACTCCGCGTTAGATGCGTCTAAACTTTCTAAAGTTGAGCGAGGAGCTCATCTGCCACTGATGCGCTGACCCACAGGGGACGACGCGTTTGAATATGGTTAAAACTTTGTAAAACTTAGGAGGGAATGCATCGATCGAGGTGATGACCGACAGGGGACTCCACGTCAGGTGCGTCTAAGCTTTGTAAAGTTGAGTGAGGAGCTCATCTGCCACCGATGCGCTGACACATAGGGGACGACGCGTTGGGAGATGGCTAAAACTTTGTAAAGATTAGGAGGGAATGCATCGACTGAGAAGATGACCCACAGGGGACTTCACGTCAGGTGCATCTAAGCTTTGTAAAGTTGAGTGAGGAGCTCATCTACCACCGATTCGCTGACCCACAGGGGACGACGTGTTGGGAGATGACTAAAAATTTGTAAAGTTTAGGAGGGAGCACATTGACCGAGGCATGACCCACAGGGGACTCCGCATCAGGTGCGTCTAAGCTTTGTAAAGTTGAGTGAGGAGCTCATCTGCTATTGATGCGCTGACACACAGGGGACGACGCGTTGGGAGATGGCTAAAACTTTATAAAGTTTAGGAGGAAACGCATCGATCGAGGCGATGACTCACAGGGGACTCCGCGTTAGGTACGTCTAAACTTTGAAAGTTGAGTGAGAAGATCGACCTGAGGCGGGCATCTGACGTTAAATGATTTGACAGTTGTTGCGTATTTTCAAAGTGACAGTTGGGTGTCATGCCCATTCCCCTAAAAGGCTGCTGTGGCTACTTATTGTCGACGACTGGTGGTGACCGAGGTGACGCGTTTTATGCAAGCGTGAGGGTCACAGGAAGATCTTAGGCGTAGATGAAATCTGACGTTTCATTTCAACGACCTAGATTGATAGTGTGACGTACGGCCCAGATTGATTGCATTTGAATTCAATGGAGGAGATCAGCTGAAGCATTCTATAAAAGGCGGTCTTTGAGCTTCTTTGAAGCTTTTCGCCTTTGTACAAACAAAAAACTCATTTTGCTCTCATACCATTCGTGATTTTCGGTATTTTTCGAGCATTTTCGGTGAGAAAATATCGATTTTCGACGACCTTACATCATTTTCTGACCATTTCCGGCTGAGGAACCCTCTGAATTCGTAAGTTTTAGTATCTTTTAGGATATTTATTTTCTGAAAAATGGCGTCTGAGGGAAGTTCTAGTTCGGGGAGGGGGCTAGAATTAGTGAGGATGGACGAGCCCACTGTGGCGACCTCCTCTGAGATAGCCGAAGCGATTATTGGGAGGAGAACATATGTAGGAGGCCAGATAGCCCGGCTGATACTTCTGTGCACTGGGGGACATCGGATTAACCCTCCAAACTAAAGGAGGCCGACCTAGAAAGACTTAGGGCAGAATATAGGATTCCAGATAGCGTAGATCTGATCCTCCCCGTGCTTGAAGAAAGGGCCTGCAACCTTAGGCCAGGGCGCGTGGCCATAAGTGAGGCGATTCTTAGAGCCGGCCTTAGTCTTCCATTCCACCCTTTCTTTAGGATGGTACTTAGGTCGTATGGGTTAGCCCCGACCCAACTCAACCCGAACTCCTGGAGCCAAATGGTTGGCTCCTGGATGTTGTGAAAAGAGGCGTCACTTGGGGTTGAGATGCCCTTCTCCGTCTTTCAGACCCTTTATATCCCAAAAGTGACAGCTGGGGGGGATAAGACCCGAGGCTAGTATTACCTTACTTCATGGGGTTCCCATACTCCATTCGTGCTTGATCTGCTGAGCTCCCTCAAAAAGTGGAAGGGCTCGTGGTGCTGGGCCACTTGATGATGGGACAAGATGAAGGGGGACCCCCTGGCGCCTCTTACAATCCTCACGAAGTACTTGACTCTTAGTGAGTATCACAGTTGCGTTTCTTTATATTTCTCTTCGGTTCGGATAGCGACTAACATTTGAATTTCTTTTGAAGGTACTCTTCCTCGGTGCGAACTGTCTTCTGAGGACTTCGACACCATTTGTATCATTTATCAGTTGCCTCAGAAGGAGAGGTCTTACCACCGGCTGATCAGAAAAAATCTACAGTTCGTTACACACGACCTGATGGTATCTCAAGGTAACTGTCCCGAAGCCTTTACCCTTCCATATTTCTGAAGTCTTTACACTTGTACTGATTTATTGTTTGTTCTTTGCAAATAGCTTCAACAAGAAGATGCCTGTGCGCCTCGACTTCAAGACCATCCAAAGGATGATGGTAGAAGCGCGGGCGCTGAAAACCTCCTCCTCCACCTACAAGAAGCAAATGGAGGACCTGGTGGACGCCAGTAAGAGGCTCTAGCCTCCAATGGAGGAGGAGGTGGCAGAGGACCCCACGGCGGATCTATTGCGGAAGGACAAGAAGAGTGCTGCCCCTTCCAAATGCCCAACTATGGCGAGGCCATCCCCTATTCTGAAGTAGACTACAATTCCAACCAGGGTGGCCATTCTGGAGAAGAGGCCTGTACCAACAGAGGTTGCCACTGCCCCGACCACTTCGCCACTTGCTGCGGTTCCTATTGCCTAAGTGCCGGGGCAGTAGTGGAGGAAAAGGACCTGTCCCTCTAAGGAGGTCGACTTCTTGGGCACCAATCCGGAGGACCCGGTTAAAGAAGTGTTGGAGGCTCTTCCTCTGGAAACGGCTGCGGTGGCGGTAGTCCACAACAAATACTGGACCAAAGAATGGAGGGACCACACCGCTTCCTGCACGGTCGAAGACCTGGTAGCGGCC